AGCAGTAGTAGCAGCAACAGCAGGAGTGTTGGTGGTGGTGCTGGTGCTGGTGGTTATGGTGGTTATGGGGGTGGGGGTGGGGGTGGTGCCTATTATGTCCCACAGACTCATAGATGGTGGTTTGATGGAGCTGGTGCTGTCATTCCTCCTGGGATTCTGCCGATCGTGCCTTCCTTCCCTTCACCTTCGGCGGGAGATGTCGAAAGACATAAGAAGACAAGTCACCACGCAGGTGACGTTGTATGGATGATTTGTTCGAGGCTTTCCTGTTTCTTTGTCCAGACTCCAGAAAATCTACTTGGCAGCTGCCGTTCTTGCTTGTGTTGGTTTGAGGTGATCCCGGTCCAATGCGCTCCTCCTACACATCGGGCAAGGGTGCAACAGGCAAAGGTGGCAAAAGAGCGGACACCCCGCAGAGTCTTGCCTTACTGGCGTGCTACGACATGTTTGACAAAGCTTCGATGCTGTTTTGAATCCGTCAGACAAGACGCTGGCCCAAGCAAAGGACGGAGGACGGGGACAGCCGGAAAGTTCGCCGGTGGGGCACCTTGGACATATTTGGACGCAAGCTTGTGAAGTGTGACACCGACCATAGGGAAGCACTCATGGACTCACATGCTTGACGTCAACACTAGCTCGCAACTGGAGGTGGCAGCACAAGGGCATCGCATCACGGCTGTAGCTCCGAGATATTCGAAGCTGAGCATGTTCCTCGCTTCGCTGGGCAGGCAAAAAATTGGGTGACACTGTGGCCGGTGGCTGAAGACAAGGTGGCAGAACTTTCAGGGTTCGGCTTGGAACTCGAACCTCGGCAGTTCGAAACCTTCCACATACTCGGTTTCCCTGTGGTGCTGCAGCGACGAGTCACCCCTGTACTGCCTAGACCTCTCAAACTACCGAGCTATTTCGCGAAAGCTCCCGGCATACGAAGACACAGAGCTAGCTGCTAGCTTTGCCTAGCTATGGGCTGTGGGGCCTGGAGTGTCTTCAGACTGGGCAGGCCCCCCCCCCTCCCCCATGAAAGGATCTACTTCGTAACTAGAAGCGACCTGCACATTCTGAATAACTATAACTGTTCTCTAGAAAAAGTTCCGTGTACATGCTTTTCCCGACGATAGTCGAGTCTGCTGGCAGCGATAGTGGTAGGCTTCAGCTATACAAAGGTAGAAAGCATGGCACAAGCCATAACTCGTAAATTCGTCACGGTCTGGCATGTCGGCAAATCGTTTGAAGCCGCTTTTTATAAGTTACTAGTACTTTTTCGACACTGGAGTGCAATATTGTATGACTAGCTCTATTGCATTGCTCCCATTTAAGGCCTGCCATTTTGGTAATATTGTAGTATCATTGTGGGTCTGATTACTGGGCAGACATCAGCATGCTGCCGGTAAAAATAGAATCTGTGGATGTGGTTGAACCGGCTTTAGTGTCGCCCACCTTTGGCCGCCTCATGCCGCTGCATTCCCCTGGACGTGTTTGCTAAAGCCCGAAAAACAACACTTGCAGCCAGCCTTTGTAACAGTGTTGGATTGGCTGCAAGGTCTTGTTTCATTGATCTGACAGCCATGCTTGCCGATGTTGGCGCAGGCCGGCGGAGGGCCACTGCTCGCCGCGCTTTCGTCAGTCTGGTGGCTCCTGCAGTGCTTTGAATCTTCGACCGCACCTGTGGACGAAACACGGCCGTCAGCCCTGAGAGACCCCTCAGAAGCGTGTCGTTGTCCAGGCACACACACACACACACTTCACTGCAGGCCAGCGTTTCAGGATGTTGGCTCTGACTATGTTCATGCTATACCGTAAATCCGCCTCAAATCCTGCGCCTTGTCAGCCTAGGGCACTGTCCAGTGAGAGCACATCCAGGCCAGAGGATGCGACAGCAGCACCATGCCATGCGACAGATCCACCAATACAGTGCGACCATATTGAGGACGGCTAAGCCTTTTGTGGCACTTTTGCATAGCCACTTAGCTTTGCTTTGGATACTTCTTTTCTTGAAGGCTATGCCGAGTTGGAAGAAACGGCATGTAGGGAAAGTAGAATGCCCTCTTCATTCGTTGCGGGCGCCTATTGTTGCCTTGACATCCGGACAAGAAGTTTCCCTGCCAGCAGGTGGCCTCTTGACAAGCTGGGATGCCTACTTTGGCACACTTGTCCGTCGAGGACTTCCAGCTGCCCGGACCAGAAGCTCCAACATGCCACAGTAGTGCTGGAAGTGGAAGTCATCCGTGCAAAGAGTGAGGCTTCGAACAGCCTCCTGGCTGCCGGTCAGCAGCCCCGGAAGTTAAGAGCATGTGTGCAGATGTTGAGATAGCAAAGTGCCCAGAAGGGTGGACTGCAAAGAATCAGTCGCCACGGGTGAACCTTTCGAAACATGTTGTGTTAAAAGAGCCTTTTCACATTTCCTGCGTTGTCCGCAGCCTTCCTTCCTTGGCCAAGTTCAGGAGGGTACTGCAGAACCCCATGCACCGAAATGTCTTCTAGTCACAGCCTGATTGCTGTTATGGTTGGCAAGTTGCGGCATGGGTCCTGTACACCACCTGAGGCTGGATGGACAAAGAACCCAGCATGGCCAGCAAATTTTCTGCATGAGCTTTCAAGTTTCATGACCCTGGATGGCATTGGTTGGTGATGGCCAGTAAGTTCTGAGGGAGACGCTGACTGGCCATCTCTCCACTCACTGTTTCCCCTGCTTGTGCTTATGGTTTCCATCCCATGTACAGGTGCGTCACAGCAGGTTGACAGGGCACCATCAGATGCCTTCCCCGCAGAAAACCACATCACGGTAGGCTGTGATCAACGAGGGCGTAGGCCCTAGGTCTAGTGACTGCTGGTCTGATGTCCATGATGTCCTCAAAGCATGGCCTTTTGCCAGCGGCTGGCTTCATGTTCAAGCTCGTGCTTGCGGGCAGCTCGTCTTGAGCCTCTGTGCCATGGTATCGGCTCCGGGCTTCACCAAGGCAGGCACAGCCCGGGGGCTCAGGCTTGCTGGGCTCTGGAAGTTCACTGAATCCTGACCACTGGCTTTCTCAACTGGGAAATTCGCAGTTCAGAAGGTAGGGGCAGAGGGAGCTTCCCTGTCAGGAGCCGGCCTGGCCCAAACCAGCTCTGCGTCCGGCACGCCAGGTCTGTAAGGCCTGGATTTCTTTCGTCTTTGCATGCCACTGCAGCATCTTCTTGGTGTCACTCCTGTTACTTCGCAGGTGTTCAGTGGTTGCAGGGGCTTCAGGATAGACGCGGTGGTGGTGGGGCGGGGATTAACGGTGATTAACGGATTAAAGTCCATTCAAACTGCGAACATGCCGAGGCGCAGGGATTTTCCAGATTTGGCTACAGTAAGTGACAAGGTCAACTCAGATGTTCAGCTCTTTTGCATTTTGGACATTGCGGCCCCAAGATGTCTGACCTTGTGCAAAGCCGGGAACAGTTTCTGCAGTCGGTGAACGTTTGAGCCATCAGATGCCCAAGAACGCGCTCAACGCCGCTGTAAAACGAAACTAGTCCTCTATTCGGCATGGCCCCACTCGAGGAACGCGCTGAAAGCACAGTTTCGCGCGTTTTAGATTCTGAACTATAGGGAAATCTGACCTGCAAACGACGAGGAGTACCAAGCAAGAAACAATTTTTGATGTTCGCAAACCCATTGCAAGGCCCAGGTGGGAGATGGACCTTCCATGGACGTTCCTCTGTCCTATGCCTTGTGGCCAGTCGCGGTCCGTACCCTGACTGCCAAGTGTGTCTAGGTCCCACAAAGCATTGAGCATGCAGATGTGACACGAGTATACTACCTTGGGGAGTTTCCCGGCATCAGGACTGCGAGGGGGTTCTATTAACACTCCACGCCAGTTGAGCAACAGGACTTGCGGGGAGCTAGTTTGGACCGATGTAGGAGTAGCCCACAGACACTGAAATACCTGAGCTTCACTAGAATTTAATGCTGTCTTGACATCTGATTTCAGGCTTGGCAAGCATTCGAAAGGCTGTGAAAGGACAGAAAGCCGGGGCCTCGAACATGCACGAGGTCTTGGGGAGGGTGACATGGGTGTGCGCAAAGGTAGCCAGGAAGCAGCTTCAGCGCAACTTGCAAAGGGCACAGCAAGAAGGCCATGCGGTTCAAGACGCTTGCAGCGCCCAAGAGATGATGGGCGGAGCTGTGTCGACACTCTCGTGCAAGACACGAGAGGTGATCCACCAGATGCAGGCGAGGTTGAGCTCCAGGACAGAAGCTTGCTCGCCCGGCCGAGAAAAGCCTGAAGTTCTCACAGCTCGAGGAGCTCGAGGACATCGACGACTTGGAAGAGATGGACGAGGCCGCATGCGGCCTGTTGTCATCCTGTAGTTTGTCATGCTGTAGTTTTACTGTGACAGTCCCAGCGGAGGCAGCGCAACAAGCAAGTATAATAAGATGTTGGGATCGGGGGCAACAGGATGTGGAAGACTTCGTGGATCTAGACGATGCGGAACTCGCGAGATCCGCCACCTCACTTGAGGCGCATGGAAGACACAGTGCCTATATCTTACTTGCAGAGGTACATGTATGACCCAGCTTTGTGTATCTTGCATGTCGCAGGGCCAGAGCTTCTTCCAGGAGCCCGCGTTAAGTTCCGTTCTTGTCATGTCAGACTTCGGCGAGGGGGTGACACATCTGCAAGACAGGAAGGCGACCTGGACCAAGAGCTTCGCATGGCAGCGCAGATGCTGCCCGAAGAGGGGATCTTCGATCAGGTGCCGGGCACACTTTCACTAAGCCTACTGCCAGGAGGTGGCTCGCAACCTCCAAGTCAATTTCACGAAGCTCACTGAAGTCTTGACAACACAAAGCATAGCTACTCCGACTTGTCAATACGCTCAGTCATCACATTCCCATTGCTGGACGCTGCTGCCGGAGGCTGGCAAAAGCCTCAGTCGTGCAGCTGTGGTCGAGGCTTTGCTGAGTCAGTCGTCGAGGCTCTGCGGGGATCGCTGCTGCCGCCTGCACAGAGGGGATCAGGAGTTAAGGAGGTCGGGCCAGGTCGGGTCCCAAAACTCGGCAACGAAAGAAGTTGCCCGATCACCCGTCGCCAGTCGTCCCTGTGCAAAGAAGAAGCTTACGCCAAAGCAGAATGGAGAGCAAGAAGCAGTGCTGTCCTCTCCCCTGCATGTAATTGCCGATAAAATGGACTGCACACATATCATATGTAGTCATATGTGCATACTTACCGTATTGATGTGAGCCAATGTATACAACGTATGGCATACGCCTACAGACACACACATGTATATGTATATGTATATGTATATATACATGCAGGCACACCCACAGATGCCAGCATGCATGCATGCATGCGCGCACACATACCTGCACCGATGTCCAGGCTACGAGTTCGCACCGTCAACGGATTGCGTTGAGCCGACCTGGCAGGTCCTGGACATGTGACGTAGAACGGAAGCCTGCCATCCTCGAGGATGGTCTGTTACTTGAGAGACTTGAGATCTTGTGTGCTGGGTAGTTGCGAAGACAGGACCGACCAAATCCTGACGGCAGCTTTGTCGCTGTGCCGGTGCCTCAGCGTAGACTTTGTTGTTGTCGAGTCTGAGCAGTAATTCGACTCAAGACTGCCAGGCTTGCGCATGGACTGGAGAGTGTGGTAGAACTGCGGGGCAGGCACAGAGATGGCGATGTGGCAAACAGGGTTAAAGCGGTTCAGGCTTCAGACGGAACACGAAATCCTTGCGGCCAAGTCAGTCATTGTAACTTCTTTCAAAACCCCGGTCCGAGAGTTCAGAAGACCAATCCTCGACGTGGAGCGTGCGTAACGGTGTAGCACAGGGCATGTCTGAACTGGGGCAGCCGGCCTTTGCACGAGACTGCATTGGAATGTGGATGGCGAGCTGTACGTAAGATGACCCTCAAGGGCATGGTGGTGCATACGCACGAGATGCATTCAGCCTTATCAAGCTTTTCCGATTAAAGTGACGAGAGACCTGCCGTGTGTCTCAAGTGAGCGGTTCAGTGCTAAAGGCTGCCTCCAAGGTTCACTCGACTGAAGAATTCGTCGTTCTGCTCTTCCCCGACAGTCGCGATGCCACTCCCTCGAAGCCAAAATGCCGTTCTCATTGAGACCTGATGACAAAGTAACTCCTTAGATAGATTTAGCCTTCGCCACCTGTGCAGCGACCCATTCTGAAAGCAGGTTGGTCCCACTGTCCGCCCTGCCGGCAAAACAGCGCCGGGCGCTCCGACGCGTTGTGCAGCCGGGCGATTCTCGACAAGAACGCTGTCTCAGAATACCAGGGTTACTAGGGCTTCCGAAACGAGGAACTTCAACCATGCACCCCTAGTCTTGAGAAACCCCGTAGTAAGCAGCAATGATGACTGCTTCTGCTGCTACGGCTACTGCTGCCTTTAAATGGTCATACGACGACGACTACAACTCCTATACTCTTAGTGCCTTAGTGCTGCTGCTACATACTACGACGACGCATGCTGCTTGCTGCTGCTGCTGCTGCTACTACTCCTACTACTCGTACTTCTACTTCTCCAGCTGCTGCTGCAGCCAAAGCCACCTCACTGCCACCATCACAACGATGACGACGAGGACGACTAGGAATCTAGGACTACGACTACGACTCCGACGACAACTACATTCTGCTGCTGGCAAAACCAAAGAAGTTTATGAACTGTGGCGCCGCTTCACCGTGGATTTCGGTGGTGCTGATTGTTTGAGTACTTCGTTTGAGGCATTGGTCCAGGCTTCTGCGCCTGCCCTGAAAATGGCCAGAAGCTAGTCCTGCCCTGCCAGCATGGTCTCAAGAGAGCTGGTGGTTAATTAGGAGGCCGAAGCCGTAACTAAGCAGGCTTGGTCCATCCAGGGTCCAGCTGACCTCGCTTGGCTTGAACTGCAGCTCGACAGTAGGAATCATTTCGGAACATGAATGGCGGGGAAGAGGCAAAGGCAGAAGACGACGAATCAACATTTCTACTGCCGTCTGAACATGAAGGAACACGAAGAAATTGCTGCATCAACTAACGTCGAAACAACATATCTTGATGTGGTGAACATGAAGCCTTCAGACATAACGCGACTTCAACACTGACCATGGCAACATTGCACACGTGACAAGATACGTAGATGCTGCGAGCTTGCACCGCCTAAGCACCATAAGCCTTGATGTCCACATTCTGCCTGACGAAGGAGGTAAACTGGAAGGCATTGCCGCCGTTTGTCCCAGCTCATGAAGACAAGCGCTTGGAGAGATTGGCAGCCGGGATTTGCACCGCCAGCCTTACGTGCTACTGTTGCCCATGGCTGTCTCGAACACAGTGTCGAGGCTTCGGGACTAAAGAACCTACATAAATCATAATCGCCTACCAAGGCTTTGGACAGCGATTGCCGGTACTTTTCCAGCACATCCTCTCTGACAGGCGTCATGTCTGCAGAGGATTTTTGCTGGGAGACCTCAGTCTGCAAGCGATGATCCGACGCAGGGCTTCTATCGCGGTGCTACTTCGCAATATCGCAGCACCGCCAGTTCGACCCTTGTGGCCTCAGCAAAGGATACCGCAGCAGGCAGGATACTTTACATCACGAGAGGATGTCCACGCAGGCATGCACAGCTGGCGATGCAGACAGAAAAAGACAGCCACAGAGCGGGAGACAGAGAGACGGACTGTGGCAGCTTGAGTCTCTCATCGGTGGGACCTGGTTTTCTGTGACCGGGAGAAGTCGTGGATTCACAACTGCAAAGAGCACTGCCAGACTTCTGCCCAGAAACACGAGGGAGTTTCACTTCAACGGACATGCGGAATTTCAGGCATGTGGTGCTGTATGAACCTGAAGCCTGCAGAATAAGACGAACAGTCAGACAAACAGGCATTCCTTTGTGAGCGATTGACTTTGATTTGAGACGGACCCGCAGGGCCAGCACTGAAAGACATTAACCGACAGCAGTGCTGCTATTGACTGAGACAATCCTCGCCGAAATGTGGGGGAACAGACTGTTGCCGCGCACCTCCCCTCAGGCTGCGTGAGAACCCAACCACATCATGCGCCTATCTACGACGCGGGAGGTCAGCTCTCAGAGATGTTCAGGGAGGGTAAGCTACGCAGCCTCCTTGCAGCCCTCATACATAAGCGCACTTATTCTTCATTTTGCCACGCTAATGAGCTCATGCCGCCCGAAGAGTAAAAGAAGAATACGCTTGAGATGCTGGACTGGTTGCACGACAGCCCTGAGCCCTCCCAGATGAAAGAAAGAAAGCGGGCAAGAACGCTCAGACGGGTCTCTGAGCGTATCGTTTCTTGAGCTGTTTGCAAATGCTTGATCAAGGTCGACAGCAAGATCACCTCTTGTTTGTTTGTCAGCCTTGCTGTGCTCAGTCGGAAGGCCGAGAAGCTTCAGCCCCAGCACAAGATGGCCGGTAGCAGCCTGCCTCGAGTTGCGAGCAGAGCATCTTCGGAAGGAGTTTCACCCCGGGGCTTAGGATTAAGGGATTGCTTCAGATGGCATCGCCTTTGGCAACAGATGTAGCGGCGGCTGTTTTGAGACGCTTTCAGGTCTCATATCTTCGCCGAGCCTCTGGCTCATTGTGGTCCCTGACTGCAGCGAAAGAGGACCCTGAGGCCGGAGGTCGCTGTGGTCTGTGGGTTCCCAGCTGTGTCCCAGTTCTTCTCGACTCGACTTGAGCCGACTTGGCTTCCTTGGCGACGGTTTCCCTGTGCGAAGACCACCTGAGGAGGTGTCTTGTTCAGTAAGCTTGAAACATCTTGAAACCACGAGAGCGACTGATGGACAGAGCCGAGTGCTCAAGAAGCTCAACCGGCTCAACCGGTCTGTGTGTGACCACAGGACAAGACGGTGCTGCTGGATTTGGGAAAGCTACGCAGCGAGAGAATCAGCCGAGATAGGCATCAAACACCAAACAGGGATCAACAAAACATCAAACAGTGCTCAAAAGTGAAAGCTCAGGAATGTTGTAAATTGCATTGCAGTCAGCCCGTGAAGTTGAATACTCACAAACAGGCATTTCTCCCTCAAAGGGAAGGAAGGAAGGAACTACTACTAATAGCAATAATAATAATTATTATTATAATTATAATACTAGTGCCACTACGACGACCACCGCTACTGTGAACGACGATTGATGCTGCTGTTACTACTAACTACCGCTAAAGACTACCAGAACAACTGACAGCAACAACAACTACTACTATTTAACTATATACTACAACTACTACAACAGCGACAACGACGACTACTACCACTACTACCACAACTACGATGACGACTACTACTACCACTAATAGGGGTTGAGGGGTTGATTTTTTGATCCGACTCTGGGCAATCTTGAGTATAATTTAGGGAAAATCATTTGATTTTTTTGCTGATCCCTGTTAGATTTTGTTTGTTACAAAGTGTTTGGTTTGGTTTAAGATTCCTGTTCTTTTGTGAGCTCAATCAGCCAGTTTTATATGCGGGTATGGGGATAGTTCTGTCCGGCCCCGGTGCATTGCGACTAAGTCTTAAGGCTACGAAGGTTTCAGCTGCCACGAGCCATCTGCGTGTGCAAGCCAGCAGAGGTCGATGGAATACCAGCTCACGATGTCGAAGAACGATTTCGATGAGCGATTCCTGAAGAAGACTGGAGGTGCAAGCACCGAAGTGTCCTCCACGGAGCAGGAGAAGGACAACCAGGCCTACAGCGGCTCAGCGGGATGTCTTCGTGGCGACGCCATGCAGACAGAGTATTCGAGTCTTCATCCAAGGATTCTTGAAGGTGGGCCGGCTAATGATGCGTTCACAGCTGGATGCCATCTACCAGGGCCTTGTTTTCGAGCCCGGGCGGCAAGGCGGGTGCTTCTGTTTTTGTTCCGAAACCTGCAGTCATCTGACAGGATTGTGTCGCCTCCCACAGGCGAAATCTGGCGAGCTTCGCTTGCGGCGGTACCATTTGCAGAGCAGCAGCCAAGGATGTCAAGACCCGTGCCGTGAGTGCGGTGAGGCATGATGCGCAGAGTCCTGGACTGATTTTGCTTCATGTCTTGCACTGCTAGCTGTCTAACTGTTGCGGTTGCCTCGGCTGCATGTACCGGCACGCAAGTGTTCTGCGCCAGTGAACTTTGCTCCCCACCCACTGCTTCAAGGAATTATGAAAAGCGGCGGAAATATCGCATCACCAGGATTTTCGGTGCTCGCAACAGTTACGAGCTGGAAATCTATGAAATGATGCGCCTCTCGTTCTGATTAATTAGTGCAAACCTCTCGGCAGATCCCCTGTTTTACGCGCATGTGCTTTTGAGGAAATGCCTTCATGAAGTATGGGTTCCAGGCCAAGATTGGCCGCATGGATGGGGTCGTCGTGGCCTATCACAACACGTCCGAAATTTTCGGCTTCCAGTACATTCCGCTGGCAGACATGGAGCGTTGCATTTACGGCCTGGGCCTTCTGGATCATAGGAGCACAAGCTTACCACGATTTCGCTTGCAATCTGCTGAATGTTGCTCAAAGCAAGCATTTGTTGGATTCCAGGGCTTTTGCACGGTACACTTGCACCTTAGGCGGCCGCGAGGCTGCTGATGTGGCTTTCGACCTGAGTGCAACTTGCCTGGTCACGGAATAGGGGCTTTCGGACAAACACCGCATTGTGGGATTGAAGGACACTCGAGCAACTAGTCGAATGGGTACATACTCTTACATGGCAGCATCTGAGACACTGCAAAGCACAAGGTCCTCAGTCCGAAAGACACTAGGTGGAAAGCCTTAAGTTTTCCAGATGCATTTGCTAAGAAAATGTGCTGCAAGCCTAGTGAAGCACGACCCAGGGATACTCACGCATGCAAAAATCCAAGACCCTTGTTTCTGACTAGCATGTAGACCTGGCTTGGTGTCGACGTGCAGGCACAGGCAGCCTTCTCGATTGGTCTGAGGTCAAAGTCTTGCAAACATTGCTGGACTTTCTGACCCAGGACTAGAGTTGAGGGAAAGGTCACTAGTCAGGCGTCCGGCATGGAGTCAGGTTGCTCGGAGCCTGTGCACACAGCCAGCCGGCTCAAAATCCTTACTTCAGGGATGAAATCGACATTCCGTCAGGACGAAGACCTGGCAAAGTATGGGACTATCAAGATGAGGGCACCGGGTCTGAATGGGAACGAAAACCACGGCTCACACGACGGCTTTGATCTGAGGTCTCATGCGAGGAGAGTGCAAACTCAGACTTGGGAAACGCGCTTCCTGATTGCATCTCGCTGCTACAGTAGCCTCTGCTAGAGTTGAAACTGCCTGAAACCATTTCGATGAAGAAGTGGAAGCAGTGCTCCTCCTGATTTAACAAGTTTGCCTGAGAATGGCTTGTCGAACCAGGTGGTTTTGTGTGGCCACAGGATAGTGTGGTTCATTATCCTTCAGTCGCGTGGAAAGTGGGAAGTTGAAACACATCGTAAGAATTGGATGATTGTGAGGGCGTCGGTACGGCAAACTGCCTACTTGCGCTAAGTAGTGTTGACGCTGTGAATTGTTCGGTAGTAGTATTAGATCTCAACTTGGGCACTCTTTGCTACTGTTACTGAGGCTAGATGTGTCTGCAGCTGCGGCTTCTTGGATACTTGCATGGCTATTTCTTGCCGCATTCACGCATGCACTTTAGGATTTCTTAGTCTCCTGCAGGTATACTTGAAGCATTCTTGAAGCGACTTCGAATCTTAGGGCGCGAGCGGCAGTACAGACGTCAGGTCCTGAAAGAAGGCGAGGAAGCGGAAGTTGATGAACTTGGGACAGCGGGTGCCTCGGGTAATTGTCAGGGCACACAAGCCTGCCGGCAATCGGCCTGAAATATTGACATGGCACAAGTGCATGCAACTTTTTCCATAGGCTCGGCACTTCCGCCTTCTGGTGAATACGTTCCATGGGGACGGGCCAGCCCCCCAGCTTTGCCAGACCTGGATTCGGCATGCAAAGGTCGGTGATAAGACGGCTTGGATTGCCCGAAGCCTGAACACCGGAAACTTGAAATGTGCTCTAGCCTCAAGGGGGCCTCGTCCAAGCGATCAGTGGCAGGCTCTAGACTCTAGCAACAAGTTCCCGAAAGCAATCTCGCCGATGTTGCAACAAGCCCGATGCAAAGCGGCTTCAGAGAAGCCAAGACAATGCGACGTGCAAGTGACTCTTCCTGGCTATAGTAGGCTATAGACAGACATACCCCTCAGCCGCTTTTATTGGCGGGCGGAATCAATGGGGCTCTGGATTCCCTTTAGAATCTGCTCCACACTCTGGGGACCTCGCGGGAAAGCGCCTAATTTTGAGCAGGACTCGGCGCAGGGCGGACGAGGCGCCGCACGAGAAGCGGTCTGAGAGCCGCAGTCAACACTCCGTGGCCAGGCCTTGCAGACTGGCGACTATGTCGAAGTGACCTTTACCGAGGTCGTTGTTAATGCCTTCCTCGAGAAACGAGGCAGCATCTTCTTGACGAAAACCTTTGCAGTCGCGAGGCGACACAACAAAGTGGCGAAGTGCCCAGCATCCACTTAACACACGGGCAACACCGGTTCAGGAGGTAGCTGCACGTGTCTCTCGGCTTCCTAGAGGTTGTATATAGAGCCTTCTGCCCAATGCCTCAGGCGAGTCAGGGACGACGCAAGCAAAGGAAGAGTGGCCACCGACTTAAAGTCGAGAGTTGCACGCCTTCAGATCTGAGAGATGGTGAGAGTCATCATCAACTAGCCCATTTGTCTTGACAAAGGTCTCCATGGCAGGCTTTGCAAGACCTTGCCTCTGCCATCCAGCGTGGCTTCCAGGGAGGCGAAGAGAAAAGGCTCGTTGTGGAAGTCGCTGGATCGCCGAGCAAGAACAAGGTGGTCCAAAGTCGAGATGTAATTAATCTCAGACAAGCATGTGTGCTCGGATTGCCGTGCAGCAGCTTTCGGGCTGGAGAGCCTCTGCAAAAACGGAAGCAAAAGGTACAGCTCTTACTTACGATCTGGCAGGGGTTTGATCTCAGAACGCGCCGTGACGTTGCAACCAACATGCAGTGCAACACAGTGCAACCAAAGGGTTGAACCTATGCGTGTAGAACAGTTGAGTGGTTGCGGCTCAGTGCTCTAGCTGCAATGGCTCAGCACTGCGTTGCTTTGCAGCTTCGGAAGTTAACGGCCTACCCCCTGGGAGCATGTGTTTCTCACGAGCAGCTGGTCGGCAGCACTTTACTTTCGTCCGGCGTGGAGAAGGCTAGCAGTGGCTGCCAATGTCGCCAGTCTGGTTCTTTGCGAGCTAGAGACAAATTTGAGCATGAGGTATGGACTGGCCAATTTGTTCTGATTCTGCTTATCCTTCCTATTCACCATGCGAGTGCTCCGGCCAACCTGCCGAATCGCGCCTTCAAGTACCGCACATATCGCATCTGGGCTTTACAAGGAAATCAGAGTTAGTCTGAGAGGTTAGCGTCCTTGTGTGGATGTTGCTGAGGAAACATGCCGCAATATGTCCATGTCCGGACCCACGAACCATGCCAAGTCCTCGAAATTCTCGCCATAAGGCCAAACACACGATTTCTTCCGAGACCTTCGTCGACGTCATCCCAACCTCGTAGAGCTCTGGTTTGCGCAGGCCAAGCCTCCCGATGCTAAGAGCAAGAGACCAGGAATCTTAAGGTCAATCATCGCACCATACGCAGTTGTCGCAGTAGTAGATGTTGTTGTTGCCGCAGTAGCAGTGGCAGTAATAGTAGCAGTGGCAGTAGCACTTGTAGTAGTAGTAGTAGTAGTAGTAGTAGTTGTACTACTACTACTACTACTACTACTACTACTAGAAGCAGTAGCAGCCATAGTAGTAAGAGAAGTAGGAGTGGGGATATCGAGAGGAGCCGGGCTAGTAGTAGTGGGAGTAGAAAGGGTAGCACTACGGAGCAGTGCCAGTATCAGGCTTTAGTCGCAGTCGCAGATGCAACAGCGTATATTCTCACTGTTTATTGGCAGTACTAATAGCACTATTGCTTTTGCTGGTGCTGGCACTGGCAGTAGTAGTAGTAGTAGTAATAGCAGTAGCAGTAGCAGTAGCAGTAGCAGTAGCAGTAGCAGTAGTGGTGGTCGTAGCAGCAGCAGTGTTGGTAGTAGCTGGCAGGGTTGCCTTAGCACTTGCACGCGTTGAGAATTCTGCTGTGTTCCCTGCATTGCGACCTGGTCAGTTAAGCGGGTGGGAAAAACACTGGCAGGATCTTTTTCCAGAGATTCTTCCTCAGAAAAAGTCTTGGGGAACCTGCGAGGGCGAGGCATGCAAGACACTCATTGTGCCTTGGACCTGAATGGCTGGGAAACTGCATTGCAAGCCGTAGTAGTGGACCGAAATGCGCAACAGCTGCAAACCGAACTCAGACATAAGGTGCGCATCGCCAACAAGCAGCTGCTTTCCGACTCCACTCCAGAGGTTTTTTTCAGTGGAGCACTACACGGAGATGAAAGGCATGACTGCAGCTTTTGTCGTGACTCTTTACACCACTCAGGCGCACAAGATACACCCAAACTGTCCAACCTTTCAGAACTGGAGGATTGGTCCGGCGACTGTCTGTGAGCTGGCGAATTTCCTTTGCGAGCAGCATGCAGCAAATCACGCAGAGGCAGCAGCAAACATTACAGTGAGCAGTCCAGCCCAGCGTGCGCGTTACTGTGCATGGCCTCTTGGAAGGTAACGCGACTGGTCGATGGGCGATCCACGTCATGGACTCAATGTGAGAAATTCCATTCGCCGCACAGTGCTTTTTCATAAGTATGAGCCGCCTTTCCCTACAACTTTTCCTTTGACCGCCGTCATGAGTCCACATTAGGCGTGTTTAGCTTCATGGGGGTAGTTGGGAGTTGCTACAAGCTGGGATGTGGGGTCTGGAGTGAGAGCTTATGGAGTGAAGGAACGAAAGAAGCATGTGCAAGTTTGCGGTCTGAAAGGTAGGAGAGATGGCAGGGACTAGAACGAAGGTGAGGAGATTGCTTGGTGCGCACAGTAAAGCGATTCATGGCTCAAGAGCTTTCGGGTCTTAGTTCTGGTGTGAGATCGCTGTTCTGCATTCGGTGCAGTGTAGTCAGTGAGCGGGCAAGCATGGTCTCCGACAACGAAGTGCCTAGTGAATCCATTTTGTGCACGTGCCAAATTTGCGGCATGTTCATGTACCATACGAGTCTGGCTTCAGCACAGGCCTGCCTCTCGCACAGAAACTATGATGACTATAGAGGAACAGTGTAGATGAGATGGGGCTGGCTGAGCATCTCCCGGAATGTTGATTGTAATGAGTCCTAAACTTCTCCGTCTTACTGTCGTCGTGCAGAAACCCACGCATGGGCAAGTGGAGCCGTCGAAGCAACACAGCTACTGCAGAGGGCAGTCGTCACAATACCCGGTGATGCGTGGTTTTCAACTTGGCAAGACTTGCCCCAAACTTAACTAGTCAAGACAACGCCGAGACTTGTTCTGTCAAGCAAAGGTACAGTACGTTTTGAACGCATTTCCCTGAAGATCCCTGAAGCATCGATGCAAATCAACACCGGGCTTCGGCTTCGTTGCTTACAGCTCGCACAGAGCATCAGCAGCCATGCAGCACCACAGCAGCACTACTTCCACGGCTGCACATGGCGAACGGCGAGTGCTGCAGCCAAGCGCATACGGCACAAATTTTACACATGCAGACGTTCGTTGATGCTCGACCTATCGAGTGCGATGCAGCTCTTGACTCATTGATGAACAAGCAGCCGACACCTGCACTGCATACCTTCAAAGAATTAACAGCAAGCCGGCACGACTGCATTCCAGCGGGAGAACTCTGAAGTTCGCACCGGTTGCTGACACATGCTGTGCCACACGGTGGTGAACAAAAGCATCTACAGTCACAGGAACGTTGCGTGCTCAGGTGGCTCATGCCAATGACGAACGCACATGGATATGCGAACTACAAGAGGGAGGAGAACGGCATGGATCCAAATCGAGACTTCCCGTATTTGCAGATGCCTCAGCGATGCATGCAGACACAGACCGCTCGAGCGGTGAACGACTCTTGCCTTTAGCCTCCGGGAAGCTCCGAGCTGTGCCTTTCTCAAAAGCTTTTCCTCAGGCTCGTTCGATTGTGCTCAGCCCCCGGCATCTAAGGAGCTGTTCCGCCGCCATCTCTTCCAGCCTCCCAGCTGAATTGTCAATTGTCTGACTCCTCGGGCGTCGAACCGGCCGCGAAGTGGCTGCAGGTTCAGCATCACCTTCCACGGCGGCATGCGGGCCCTCACCTACGAATGGGGATCGAAAAACCACTTGGTGAAAATGAAGTCGACGGAGTCTCCTGATGAGTCAGCCTTCAGACAGGCCAGTGATTGAAAGTGGGGCATTGGTTTTCTGTGGCAGACCGCACGTTCCTTTGGCAAACTCGGAGTTCAAATGCAATATCAGGTGGGTGAGTCCATTCGCGAAGCTGCTGGGAAGACGTCCAAAAACCGATGGTTCTATCCCCTCGGGCCGATCAATGACTTGGCACCTCGGAAGGATTCTAAGCTACAGAACCTTGGTGCAGACGCGCCTTTGCGGTTTAAATGAATCTGCGTGCCTCGTGTCGGATGTTGACAAGGTATACCCCGTGGATGGAGGCATGGAGGACTGGTCCTATGCAGCTGGCTTCGAGAACTCTCCTAGGCCCATCACGGTCTGCCAACCGACCACATATGGTGGTTACCCGCAGGACTGCGGTGCATTCCACGGCATTTAGTAAGCAACGGTGCTTGCAGGAAGCTGAACGGCTTTTTGTGTTGCGAACGTGTTCGTCAGGACCGTACAAGGTATCGCAAAGATAGCATAAGTACTCTAATGTACTTGGCAGCGACTTGGACTGCCGGATGTGCATAGCTTTCGGTACATGTACACCGTGCATGTGTACACGGTTATGTATGCACATTTTCATGTTCATTCTATGGCTGCTCTGCTCAATCAAGGAAATGGATGACAAGAAAACAGCGCAAGAGGCGACTCTTGGGCACACTTCCGAGATTTGGGCAGCCGCCGTTTCACAGGGCCACGTACCACGAAACCTTCGAATGTGTAGCTTGGAGAAACTCAGCTCTGAGGCATGTTCGTTCCAGCGGGCGCCAGGTCTAAGTCAGAATTGCAAACCGAGTACTTCACGGCCACAGTGCAACGGCTCTGACTACAGCTCGTAAGCATCACACGCGCGACAGTGCTACAACTCCTGACAATGTCTGCGGCCAAGGTTTGAAGCTGATTGAGCTGGCACGTCCGGAAGTTGTGGTGCAAAGCGTGCGGATACCGCGAGACCCAGGCCTGCTCAAGGTGTTTGGGGTAGCAGCCTGCGCACTAAAGTCGTGTATGGTGCTTCTTCTGCGGTATAACGGTGTGTGCGATTGCAAGTTCCTTCGACCTTTGATGCAAGGCCCGGGTACGGCAGTCGCCGTCGAGGCTTTCGGCTTCGGCTGCAGCCAGCTGACGGCGAGGTGCCACCGCCATCAGAAAGACCCACGTATTTTTGGACGACTCGCGACCCAGACTCCGCATAGTTGTGCGTGAATACTACAACAGCTAGCTTGTGTGTTGCCATGGCTGGTCGACAGCACCTCAGCACTCTGCAGTGGCCTGGAACAGTCAATCTAGGTTGTGTCGTGGTTAGCATTTTGAGCTTGGCCTGTCGCTTGTGCCGCCTCAAGGCTTCTCGTGGCACCGACTGCCCACATCCCACAATGCAATGTTGGTTTGGACAGCGGTGCAGCCTTGGAGGAGCCACGGTTATGTGTAGCAGGCGACCGGAAATCACAGGAACCTTTGAAGCACTGGCAGCACAGCACAGACAGGACAGCACGTTTCGAGAGCTGCTTGAGCGCGAAACTAAGTGTGGACGTACAGTCGGCCCGACACATGCAAATGGCTAGAGACCTTCAATGCGCTTGCGAAGTCTTCATGCCGCCGCGGCATGATGCCGAGGGCCAAGCAGATTGCCACGGTGAACTTCAGATGCCAAGGGCTGACGCTCTGGGGCACTCCGAGAGCATCTTTCCGTCTTGAGGGCAAACTGCCTGCGGATGTCAGCGGCGAGGTCTCCAATTTTTACAGTCTGTTACAGGAACAGTTGTTGTTGCAGCGTGGTTGAAGATTTGTTGGCCAATGGCCGTTGCCGCATCAGGTGTGTCTCCTGATAGCGGCTGAGTTTGATAGCCAGTGGGGCCACCAGGCACCCTTCCTTCGCCTCTGTGAGAGACGACGGGTCTTGTCAAAAAGCTGTGCCGGAGGTGCATCCAGATCCGTCTGTGAAGCCTCGATCACATGCCGCCCGCCTTCGATTGGAGGAGCGATACGAAGCGAAGGCCTGCCGCGGCGATGCAAAACTGCAAGCATTCTCTGTCGCACGCCTTCGATTTCCCGACAGCTCAATCGGCATTAGAACTGCTGAGACAGGGCAGAGGTCGGCACAGCTGCCACATGCCAAGAAAGTTGTTTGCTGCCTCCCTGCTAGAGTCTAGAGTGAAGACTCACCGACACGGAGACGCATATACATATATATATATACATACATACATACACAGAGACTCACTCTTCTGATCACGACGCATAACACACGTGATTTGTGACTCAACCGGCACTGCACATCATGTAGATCTCTCCTGTTGCAGGGACGAATGTTCGAAATTCGAAGTAGCCGGCGAGCCTGTAGGCAAGTGATGGACCCAATCTCATCCGAGCGCGTCGCACCAAACTGTTCGTCCGGGACTCTGATTGCACGAAATGCAGCTGTATTTTGGCTGCACTAGTCTAGGAAGTGGAGGACCCTCGAAAGCTCCGAGGCTGCTGAGCCGACCCCACTCCTGTTGAAGCAGTACATGCAGGCGGCGGAGGCTTTGGGGTCAAGCAGAGCTTGTGGTATGCTCTTGTCATTATGCAGCTTCTTGCTACTCCTGAACTTTCAGGTGCAACCCTTTTCGACTACTCACTCGCCGTCTTTAGAGGTGCCGTTTGCCACGACGCATCCACCGAAGGAGCGTTCTTATTCACTTGGAGAACTGCTGTTCTACACTTTGCCTTTAGTACTGGCTTAGTGGCTGTATGTTGTCTGTCTGGCTTCCCAGAGTCACTTCTCACTCTCTTTATTGAGTTGATTGTTTGTTTTTTCCGGATGCTTCGTGGCTTGAGGACCTTCCAGCTTTCAGGCTTTGAGTTCTTTCGCATTGTGGCCTCGTTTGCAAATCAATTGTACTGCTGTGGGTACTGACTATCACGAACTCTTCAGCCAGCTGGAACTGAATTGAATAGGTGTTTTGCATAATGCACCGCACTTTTAACACAACATATGTTATACATATATATATATAAGAATACATGATATATATATATGTATATATATATATCAGGTTGGAAGCATTGACAGACACTCATTGTATGTCACAGTGTGTCCTAACATCTCACCAACGCGTCGCGACTGAAAGTTCATCACCACACCTGGGGCAGCATCAGCAGGGACAGAAACCAAAAGAGTCGTGACCATGCGCACACCCACACAAACACCACTGCGAACAAGTATAACGACTGGATTCCATGCTTGAAGAAACAGGAAAGTTCGCAGTGAGCCTCAAAAGATGCTATTCGATTGTTACTTGTCAAAGATGCGCGAGGTTTCTGCATGTCTACAACGCGCATATAAGGTCGCCATGTTGTCTTGGTTTGGTTACACCAAGAGACTGGCTTTTGCAATATGTTCGGGATGGCCTAGCGAAATCCAATGCAGTGTCGTAACATGTACCAGACGTTCATCACCTCCTGAGCCGTCCCGCAAAATCCAAGCCGATCCCCTGCGATCCGGAGGCACTAATACTAAGACAGACCTCCCCACCAGCAGCATCGGCAAATGGCAAGACATGACCATGCTGGCCAGAGCAGCTCGAGGCAGCTGCACGAGTTTGTGGTGTTCCTTTGCCCGAAGGAGCCAGCGTCAATGTCGACATCGCACGCAGGGCACGCAACGACGTCCTACCTCCGACATGCACCACCGACAGCTCTGCCGGAAGAAAGCGGTGGGCTGACAATACCCTTGTATGCCGTCGCTACATTTTCGTTCCTGGGCCGGGCTTCAGATCTGCTTCTTAGACTGGCATTTATTCTTTGCAGTCTGCCTCTGTCTGCCGAGGTTCGTAATTTCTTTGTCCTGTGGTTTCATGGTGCTGGTCAACCTGCATTCACAGGCTTCTTGACGTTTGGCTGGTTTCTGCCCTCGGCATATGGTTCGTGTGCTGCAGCCAGGCACGACAGGGCAAGGCGAATGTGCACGATGTGCCTCGGCTGTTTTTTGAGGACTCTGGATATGCGAAAGCAATGGAACATGAAAGGTGCGTTTTTTACTTTTTGTCGACTGTCCCAGGCTATCAGTGAAGCCGAGCTTGCAAAGATGGTAGGCCAAAGTCAGCCTACTGAATAAGCTTGGCCAAACCAGCTGCCAAGAAAATACATGTGTGTGTCAAGACGTAGCTCATAAATTTCTCTGGGTAGACAATTCTGACACGAAACGACGAAATAAATACAGATAATTCTCGAAAAGGCGTATCCATTTAACGGCTCGGAGAATAAAAATAAAAAGATAAATTGAAAATATATATATATATATACCCTATATATACATAAATTAATAAAGAATGCATTTATATATTGTATAGATATTATATGTATATATATATATTTCAAAGTCTCATTTCTAAGCGCTTACAAGTATTTTAGCGTCCATGAGTCCCAAAAGAGGGGTACGGCCAAACGTGCCTGTTAGTGCCGATAAATTTCTCCAAAAGCACAAAAGCATAAAACACCAAAAAGCGCAGAAGCGTCTCGCGTTTAAAAGTGCCTTAGAGTCTGATAGCGTTTCTACTCGGATACGAGACCTACAACCACCGAAGCGTATATAATATATGGACTTTTTATATTGGAAGAAAAAAACGTCTAGAAGCGTCTCGTATTTAAAAGACGTCTTAATATTTTATTATTTTTATAAGGTTAATTTATAGAAACGATATTGAATTATTCATATGTATACGCGCGTCTATTTAGATATTAATTTTTATTCTTCTACTTATTCTTATAAATATATATATATTGATATATATGTATTTCCACTCTCGGATTTCTAGAAAAAGGTCGAAATAGTTCGAACGCGTCGTGAGATTCCGGGCGTATCTAATCTGTAGAGATCCGAGGCGATTCGAATACGCGTATCGGATATTTTATTACCGAAGCTCTAAGAAAAAATCGAGACGAATTAAACTTACTATGAAATATTAAACCTCTTATCTTCGATAGTGTAAATACATCGATAATTTATCGCTTATATTAGTATTTATATTTATTATTAATTGTTATTAAATAAATCTATATTTGTATAAAATTAATCGATTATTCATTCAAATTATATATAATTTCAAATTTTGTCATTTAAAGATATATATTCATAAATATAGTTCAAGTACTATTTTAGATAAAAATTGTTCTAAATTTTTTTTTAAAACAAATCTAGAACAATAGAGAGAAAGAAAAAGAGGGGCCAAAATTAGAGGCAATTTTTCTTATTATAAATAAATATCTTTAAATAATCGACGCAAAATTATAGTAAATTCTAACCGAAAAAATCTAAAATGAATTTCTGCTAAATATCTACAAAAATATTTATTATTCTATTTATTCATACAAAATTAATTTCAAATTACTTTTAATAAAAATCATTTTTCAATAATAATTCATATATATTTATATAATAGTTAATTTACTTATTCTTTATATATTCCTTATTGTAAAATAAAAAGAATTTCGAAAAGATATCTATAATACATAATACCATCGTCATATCTTGCAATCTTATATCAATATTCATTTTCGTTGTAAGAAATTATCATCATCCTCTCACCGTCTTCGTGCTCCTATAAGACGAACATAACGAACATAATGTAGTACAATATCACTTCTGCATACTAACCGACAAGCGTCAAAAGCTTGCAGTCTTTCCCTAAGAAAAGAAAGCACGGCCCTTATAATCAGAACCGCAGAAAATCTGGCATCACCAATCAATTAGTCTTCCATGCCAATAAATTTCGCTCATATTTCTGTTGACAAATCAAAGCAACGGGCGCTATCGTGATTCTGTATTATTGTCGGAACAGATATCTGATGTGAATGTATATAATTATTACGTTTTCGTCGCCGTCGGCTCGATCGTGATCGTCCATGTCTTGGTATGTCCTGCACTGGACGAAGATGCAGCCCAACAAAATAGCTATCGCAATAAATCATTCCAGCTACATGTTGTCATTAGCACAAGCATCTGAGATCTGTCCATGTTTGGAGCTCTTCCTTCCCAGTACCTTGCAGCAAGCAGCGTCTCCATCAGACTGAGAATTCAGTGCAAGGAATGTTGTCATATACATGCAAATCATGCAAACCGGCAAATAATTTCTGCAGTACTTGGAAGCAAAATGAAGCAAAACGCGAAGTGAGTGCACATGCGCGTGCGCATGTGTACCGCCAGCGGGGTGCTACCGTAGTTAATTTGCGATTCCGGCGAATTCTCGATCCGATGCTGCCAAACCAAGCCGGAAGGCAGTGAGGGCCGTAGGGGTGATTGTCCTTGCTTTCGTCCTTCCCCGTTCGGGCGTTCTTTGCAGGTTGTGCTTTCTGGACACGTCGGATGTTTGCTGAAGATGTCTCTGATAGAAGTACGTAGTAGCTAGTATCTTAGACGTAGACCATCGGCATGTCTTTCATGCCTGCCGCCACAAGCTTGTGTATGTGTGTGTGTGTGTGCGTGTGTGTGCATGTCCGTCGTTCCTGCTGATATGCCCATGGCTTTTGGGCAGCATGTCCACAGACGATTTGTAACAGTTTCTCAATGTTTTCCTCTTCTTCCTAGTCCTACCGACGATTCGGGCAAAACATCGGTGAACGTGCACACGCTTGCACGGTATCGCATGTGTCTGTGTGTGTTTGCGTGTGTTGCGGTCTTGCTGCGCGCAGAACTCCAGGCACATGCGCAGCCGTGGAATGCAAGAGTGCTCACACGTACTGAATACTGATAACTTGTCAGTTCTCCCTGAGCCACAAGCTTTTGGAGACAGCACAACATGTGTTTCTGCAGCCGACCCTGCAGCTCTTGCGACTCAAGCGGCCAACAAGTGAAGGCACAGCGATAACCATCCGGAAAGATGCCGGTGCTGGAGTTCTGCGTGACCTGCACGATACCACTCTGGGCGATGTTTGAACTTAGACGTGCTCTGGTGCTCCACCCATCCGTTAAGGTCCGTCTCTTCCGTGCCTCGTGCTCGATGGAATCCGCCTCGAAGAGAACCTTATCGAAACAGCACCCCACAGTTGGATTCGGAGAAGCATAACCGGTACTGCAACTGCGCACGTGATCTCAGAGGCTTTCGAGCCAGCGGCCAAGGTGTCTTCGATCGGCCTGGGACCGACATGGCTCCGAATTGACTGAGCTGACCACAGCAAACACTTACTTCAAATTGGCCTGCACACTGCAGACAGATGTTTTCTCCGAGCAGCTGCATCAACAGATAGCATGTGAACACGATAGCTACTACAACACCAGACACCAGCAACACGCTCCCATCCCAAAAACTGAAGCCTACAGGCTCTTGCGGCCACAAGAAACAGCGCGCTCAGACATACACGTCATGTTGCCAGGCACCTCTCAGAAGATGCAAAGCACCTAGGCAGACATCGCCCTCCAGGACTCCCAGTGTGGGTTGTTCTGCTTCGAGAGCTGCTTCAGCTTGTCCTTGACGGTCACAGTGCTGCCCGCAGGCTTGGCACGTTCCCATGCCTCTTCCAATCCTTTCTCCTGGGCTGCACGGTAGACTTTAGGATTAGGAACACATTTCTGAAGTGCTTAGAGTTCAAGTGCCGATCCGAGCTTCGTAGTCGTCCGGGTTGATGAGGCCATCAAGCGGATCCTTGGAGTTGGCGAAAAGTGGGTGCTCCCTCCAGGCTTCGTCAAGCTCCCTGGCCCGCTTGGTTCCTGGGACAATGCGCCAGAAGGCATCCTCCTGAAAGGAGTACAGGACGAACATGCCCATGGCAACCGCAGGGAAGACGAGGGTGGTCAAAGGCACCAGCACGGCGGCAAACTTGCGCTGATCTCCGTACTTCGCTTCTGCATCCTCCGCAAGCATCGTCAAGGCCGGCAAGGCCGCCGAGGCGGCCACAGCCGGGTTGAACTCACCGGATGCCTTCGACTGCTGCTCCGGGCTGGGCACGAAGCAGTAGCGCAGGCCAAGAAGCAAAGCCGCTGCGATCAGCAGGCGTCCCGTCCGTGCCATTGCAACAAGTCGCGTGATCTGCTATCTGAACTAGGATGGGGCCCAGCGGCTCCGAGGTGCATCATGCACATGAGCTGCGTTCATTGCACAGGCTCAGAAAAATCCCTGGACTTCCGAGACGTCCCTGGCTTTCAACTGCTTTCAATGCATCCATGCGGCAGGATCTCTTCCACCTCTCCGTGGCGAGACCAGCATCGAAGCAAAGCACCGTCCTCCCTTTTCCAGCCTCGCGCACGGCAAGTCGTACTCTACTTTGGTGCAAACGACAAGCCTGATTGAAGCAAACATGTGTGTGTATATATGGTACACTGACTGCTACCCGGCCACCGTGCGGGTCAGCGAAGTCAGCTCTGCATGCCAACTTTGCGTGTGCACAGTTCTTTAGTTGATTCGAGCGAAGCAAACTATTTGGACCAGTCTGCTCACGCCAGAAACCATACAATACAAACCTCTCCCTCCTTTGCTTTGCATCAGAACCCCTCAGGTGCTTGACCCAGCGCATCGTCAACTGGGCGGCCTGGGTTCACATAGTACCTGGGTACGGTGCTCATGCATAGGCACGCAAGATGTATCAAAGCAAAAGACAGGCTGCATGGCTCTGGTGCTCGGTACTGGTATTTCCATTTCTATCAAAGAAACACTGCAGAGATGCGTCTCCCATCATCGCAGGGATTGTCAAGGTGACGTCGAAATTGAGCCCCACAGTCTGCAGGCCAACAGCTTCGAAACGCTGCAACTATATGAGGCCACTCCTTTAAGATCCTTCAAGGGATTTCGATGGCTGCCAATGCTGCTAGATAGCTGCTAGATGGAGTCGGTAACTTGCGTTTGCGAACTGGTTTGTCCTCTGGCCTGGTGGGTAGACGCTGGCCATGACCTCTCCACGATCCTTACAATGCAGCCGTACTGGCAGTAATCACATGCCATCACTTATGGCTTGTGCAGCGCAGGCTAGCAGAATTTAGGGAGAGGCAGGCCGCCAAACTGCACTGTGTCGTTGTAACAACCCATTGGCAAGGCGCTTCCGTGTGGCACCAGCATAGCGGCACTCGTAGCAGCAGTCAGAGAAGTCTTTGTGGCAGTAGCAGCGGCAGTAGCGGCAGTAGCCGTAGTCCCGGTTGCCATCGGCGTCGGCGTCGTCACTAAAGTCATCAAAAGAAAAACAACATCATTTTTGACCTCTGCCCTTCAAGCCGGGTATGCACTACTGGAAGGATCCTGCTAGAGGCTGTGCCCTGAAGAAATCAACGCAAGCGCACCCCAAGGCAAAGAACAACGACCACAACTGCGTGCTTTCTGCATGGAGGTTCCAAGTCCGGTCGCAGCGCTGCCACGGTCATGTCCAGCTGAGTAGTCAGCGGCCCCAGCAGTGAGGTCCACAGTGTGGCCTGAAGTTCGTGCTTTGTGCAGAGCGCATTTCGACAAGCTCGCGCCCGAGAGCCTTGTGTGTCTGATGACAGCATTTTACTATTTCGGATTGTTTTTTCTGCCCATGCTGATCATGCGCACGTGCACCTCGAGCAAGAAGACAACTCAACCCACCATGTCACAATAGCTTGCTAATTACTTGCTAGGTCAGAATCATGCACGCATGGAATCCGGCCACACGGAAGCAAGCGCAGCTTGACTTGGGCTGCTGACCTTCTTTTCGAAAGGATGATCGTCCTCCTTGGCCATGTTCCAGGATGTTACAGGCTTCGTGGTATTGCATTGCTCGGAGGTATGACGACACCATCAGCATTGCGAATTTGACGAACATCAAGGGAAGCTAGAAATCGACCTGAAATCACGGCCAGGCTGCCAGCAATTTGGAGCCTGCTCGCAAAGTGGCCCTGACGGCACCTGCCAGATGTAAGGCTTCAAGGAACAAATGCGGAAAGGCGAGGGCGCAAATCAAGGACAACCGTCCAGTTGATCAGCACCCTCTGGGCACCTTCCCGACGGCAGCGCTTGGTCGGCTCGTTGACACCACGAGGACCCAGCCAAGCCACATAATCCTCAACGAATTCTGAACTATCAACTTGCCATGGATTCCTCAACGCATTTTTGCCCAGCCCAGTCTATTACTGGCCACTACTGGCAATCGACCAGGAGCATGTCCTGGATTCTATGCACGAAGAAAACCTATGAAGATATGAGGTTCTGACACATCTTGTCAGAAGTGCTCCATAGTTGCCAAGTTCAACAGCCAACAAGTAAAAGCCTAACTTTAGCCTGAAACATCCTGAAACTCACATCCACAGCTCTAGAGTACACATCATTCAGGCACGTCTCCCCACGAAAGTTGCGCTGGATGCCCCTCCCGTCACTGCCACCAAGAGCTCCTTGAGACAGAGGCCCTGTGCTATCACAACATTCACGACAGCGCCAACGGCCTCTAAAATAAACCTTCCAGGTAGGCTAGAACTCTGTTGCGAGGCTGCCTGAAATGCTCGCCTTCCGTAAGGTCCTGGTGCCATCCCTCCGTCTGCGAAAAGCGCCAGAGAGGCTCTTCGCAAAGCTGCCGCTTTTCCACCGCCTGAGCACAAGAGCCATGGTTGGTCTCAAGCTCGTGGCGCCGTGGTGGGAAGATCTCGCAGGGAGTTCGGGCCATTTCTAGGCCCCAAACCGAAGCTAGGCGAGCACAGACCTTCTGAACAACATCCTTGTCGAATGAAGAACAAAACCTGGTTGCACCATGGTTCTCAGCATCTACCAGGCCACCTAGACGGTCTGGCTCTGGGCAACTCTGAGCATGAACCCTGAAAACGAAGTCTTGTGAAGTCTTGAAACTTCCAAGGGCTCCGAGAACAACTATGCCACGTGCCACGCGCGGCTCTGTAATGCAGCAGGCAACCTAGAAAGTTCGGGATGACGCAAATGCCCGTGTGCTCGAACGCCTGGCCATGCAAGACAGCTGGCGTGTCATGTCCTCGGGAAAATCCGTCCTTGACGCAGGTCGGTCCAGGTCTCAGCACCAGCTGCGAGCCTCACGCTATCAAGCACAGAAGCATGTACTAGTAGGAGGCCTGTTCGATTTGTCTGGTCTGGGCCTATGGGCCTATGGCGCAGGGTAACGATGCACCCAAAACCACTCCTGCCTGGTGGCTCATCATCATCTGTGAGCATGTCCATGCAGATTTGACTTTGAGCTGTAGGATTGTAGGTGGATGCGCACTGTTCCATGGCAAATGTGCTTTTGGCCGGGCTTGTGCCGGTCAACCTCGGCAAAGTCATTGAGTTGTTAAGCTACGGTCCTGTCTCTTGAGACATTCTAAAAGACCACACCGGTTGCATCCGTCTGTGAAATGAAAGAGCATGAAGGCAACAAGCTTTTTGTGCTAGTCGTCCGAGTCCAAATCAACAGGGATGTTCCTGTGCCTGGCAGTTCAGGGACAACCAGAAAAGCTGCACTGTCATATATTCCACTTCAGCAGCTACAGTATGGCGGGGCATCCAGTGCCACCTCGACATCACTGTCCTGCATTGCATGAGGGGGTCATGGGCAAAAGCATGCGCAATGTCACCAAAGCGGCCATGTTGGCGCAGTAATCTAGGACTGGTGACGGTCTTCTGTGCCCCGATCCTCTCCTCGTCCGGAGAGTTAGCTTCGTCAGCCACTGCCTCTGCAGTTGCAGGGGCCTTCCCTTCGGCGGGTGCAGTTGAAGCTGTCGGGGACATCTTCGCGAGTTCCTTCGCTTTGCGACGTGCGGCCTCGCAGAGTCAGAGCTTTGTCCCTTGTGGAAGGCACAGACGCCCTCCTAGCATCTCAGCTGGCGGCAGGCTTTGCAGCGCGTCGGAGCTCCGTCTCCGGAGCTTTACCTTCTGCATGCTTAGTCGCGGGAAGCCAAGGCTATTTTCAGCAACAGCCCTTTGCTTCCAGCCTGTCTGCAGCAGCTCGAGCAGGGGCCTACGGTGCTCCTGCCGTACCACGGTGTTGGACGCATGCAAAAAGCACCGGCATCGCGAGTCCTCATTGATGTCGTCCAAACCCTGCAGAGACGCCAAGGCCTTACGGCACAGAATGGGTTCCAAATAGACACGTCGGGAACACGCAGACACGTGAAGCGGTGAGCCGTTGCACGCCTCTCAAAGCAGGCCGAGGGCCAGGCACCGGCATCAGGGAGTTTGGCCACCACAAGTGCTGTCCAGCCTCAGCCAAGATGTTGCTGTTTGGGCTCGGTTTCTTGCCTGTCAACATGCTGCTCTGCAACTCCCGTCGCTCCCAAGTTCTGATTCATCGAAGTAAAACATGTTCTTCATGTGAACTCGTGCTCTCCGCTCGCATATTCCAGTCCCTGGTCCTCAGAAAGTCTAGCACCTCCCCGGTTCTCCATATTCTGCAAACTGCAGATTTGGCAAGTTGGCTTGTGTTTCCCAAAGAGTCCGTAGTGATTCTGTCATCTCGCGATGTCGCCTGAAAAAGACAATCGTCACCGCACCTGCTTGATTCGAGCTCATGGCCCCACTTCCCGCAACTGCCTAGCCATGTTATATAACTTTCTGTCATGCCTGAGATGCGTGCGTGCAGCTTCTGCCGGAAGCCACCTGGACATGCACACAGACTCTGTGACGACAGTATCAAGAGAGTCACCCCACTCAACCAGAGTCGAGTGTCTCGCATGCCACGAGCGCAGAAAGAGTAGCTTCCAATTCTGCGGTTTGATGGGAAGGTGTGTCGCAGAGGCTGCTGGGTCGAATCCATCAATCATCACAGTTACATTTGCAAGAATGTATACGCATTGTACTGAGGCTGACGCCACGATTTGTGATTGCCAACCTCGCCCGCCCGCCCAGCCAGCTGCAGCTACAAGCAATTTTCACCTGCATTTGCTTCTGACACTCCCTTATTCCTTCAGGAGGTCAATGCCTCGAAGCCAACGCGAATCTGCCCCACTTCCTGGGACGACAGGAAAACTATGACGATGACGACGACGACGACGACTACTACTACTGCTACTGCTACTGCTACTGCTATTTCTACTGTTACTGCTGCTACTACGACGACGAATGCGGAAACGAACACGACTCGGAGTACGACTGCAACCACGACGACGACTACTGACTACTACGACTACGACTAATTGTAACTAATTACGACTACGATTGCGACTACTGCTACTGCTACCACCACCGCGAAACGACCAACGACCGCGACTGCGAGCGACTGCTAGTGCTACCGCTACCACTTCTACGACGACGACGACGACGACGACTATACTGCCGCCACTGCTATCATGCTGCTATCTGGTATTACTGCTGCTAAGGCTGTTCTATGACTGCGACCACTTTGGCCACTTCCTGCTGTTTCTGCTACGGTGCCGTCTACTCTGTTGTCACTATTGGACACAGCCAGGACCCGGACGAAGGCCTCTCCTGTGGCCTTGCAGCGCCCTCGACGTGCTGTCCTTAAGGGAAACCGAGAGAGCTGCAAATTTTGGGGATGCCAGTGTGTGCAGCAACTGACCTCTCAACATGTCATCTTGCCCGGTGCACCCACTGCATGTAGCCCCGTAGGCAAATCTGCTTTTGCTTCATATACCACATCTGAAAATTTCTGGCAAAGTAAGGTTTCGTTGTATTTCGCAATACAGTTGCAAAGCGTCGTTGGCATCTTTCGAAACTGACTTTTTGGTCAGTCCGGCTGCCGGCTGACAGAGTCGGGTAAGCATTGGGCACGTACTCTGCACGAATCTTCTCCAGAAAGCAGGCGGCATGGGCCTTGGCCACAACGGCTGTCCGTCGACTCCTTTAACTACGAAGCCGACCGGTGTGAGTGAAGGCCCGACCCACAGAAGCACCGATCTGCCTCCGGCATAGCCTCAAATCATGCAACAAGTCGCCAGGTGCACGAATAGCCAAAAGCTATGCTGCACCCGCTGTGTAACACACCTATACGGTAGCTCTTGAGTGACTGACTTTTTGGGTCACCTCGTTTTCGAAACGCACACTCCCTTGCACGCCTTGAACTCCGCAGCGCACGCTTCCCTTCTCGATGCTGCCCCCGCAGCTTCTGCCTCAAGCTGTCGTGAGGATCAGCAGGTTAGCGCAAGCAATTCCGCCTGATCCTCTGGGGGTTTCAAAACACCCATGCGGCCCTGGGCCGCTAGCAAACTGATCGAGGTGTCTTCGCATGCTCAACCATCACGCGGGCTTTGGCACCGACGCCTGATCAAACGGGGATGTCCACTGCGTCTACGGTGAACTGGCGCAACCTGATTCATCGGCAGGTTTCTCACTTTCGGCAGCACCACCTTCGCAAGCGCAGGTGAGGGCAGGGAAGTCCAGTGACAACCGAAGCTGCCCTGTTTGACGGCATTCACGTTCCGTCCAAGCCTTCCGTTTCGCCGGTTGTCACTGCGCCGCCTTCAACTTCGCCCTCAGGCACCGCCTTCTGTCCTCGAGCTCCGGAAAATTAGCTACGGCTACGGTAAGGGAAACATCGAACCGAGACAAAGGCCGGCCTTCCGTGTAGACATTCGCTGAGTAGTCGCTTGCACCTGATGCGCCTGGCAGAATATGTTCATGCAAAGACTCTGAGACTCTAACAAGGCTCAGATATTGGATGGCTCAGCTTACCTTACGTCCCTCACAGACATCACTGACTGTAGTATGTTGCTTCATACTTTCACCGTGCCCCTCGGAGATGAGCTCCATCGAGGCTCGGTTTTGCAGATGCAAAGAGCACAAACACTTTCATGCATCGCACGCAACGGCAAAAGCCAAGGCCTGCAGGAGAGCTTTCAGCGGCTTCAGCAGAAGCCTTCTCTGTCTTGTCACCATCGGAAAGCCGAGCTTTTTTAGGAGGGCCTCTGCGGAGTATGACTGCAGTGATTGAACTTCCGCTCCAGTGCATGACTCGCTTATAAGCCCGGGCTTGGGACGCGGCAGCATGTACTCATGCATAGTCGCTTGTGCAAGAAATCCTTTAGAATATCACCAGCTGCCCCAATTGAAACTCTCCTCGCCAAGAATTCTGGAAATGGCATGCCTGCTTCGTTAACTCTGGTACATTGTACATATGCGGCCCACTTCTTTGCTGCTTGTAGTGCAGCTCGTAAGCCGGACAATTGGAATAGAGAGACTACCTACACAGCCCGCTACATCTAGCCCAAGAGGCAGCTCCAGCACAAATGATGTGTGGGTCTATAGGTATCAATTATCAGATTCTTGATCCTTCCCGGGCCTGCAGGCTTGGTCCGACTGGCCGGCCTGCAAGAGCCGGCGCATAGGAAACACGAGCTCAGGTCACAATTCAACCCCACAGGAGCTCTTCTCATCGTTTCTTCTTGAGGCCTTTCGGATAAAGGCCCTGTGCCTGAACTCCTGCAAGAGAAGCCTGAAGGAAGAACACGAAGGCAAAGTCACGGGCCTCTTGGCTTTCTTGCGAGGCGATCCTCGGGATTCCTGGTAGTCCTTCAGTGTGCCATGCGTCGTGAAGCTCTACCTGGATGCGAGGTCTCCCTGACCTCATCTACCGTCTCCCGCACAAAGAACCCGTAGCCACCAGGGGCTGGTCTGGCAGCACGGGTTGTTGTGGCTTCAAGAGTGACACGAAGACTGAAGACTGGAATGGATTTTTGCATGGCTGGCACATCGCAAGCAACCCTTCCAATCATATGCACTCCCATGGACAGTTTCTTTTCGGTCCCGAGCATCCGTGATGCCAGTGGCACTGCCGGTGGACGACTGGGTTGTACCTTCAGTTGGTGCTTTGGTGAGCAGTTGAAAGCTTGAGAGGCAAAGAAGCATCGACAATAGCGACAGAGACACTTTTTCTTGGCAAAATTTAGGCATGCATGTATGTAGATACATGTTTGTGTATGCCACCTGTTGTGCACACAGCAATGTGGTCACTCCCGACTTGCTTGCTCTTGTTGCTGCATGCACATGCAGTGTAAAGCACTGGGACATGTGATCACACTTCCGAGGTGGCCTGCTTGGGCATGTTCTCAACCACCAAGAACCCGTGCCTGCTGGCCAGCTGACGGCGCAACTCCGCGTAGAGATAATTATACGGCACTGATGCCGTTTTTGGCCGGGGATGCTGGAAGGTTGGCTGTTGGCTGTGGCACTGCGGCAGCACACCAAGAACATCTAAGGGCATCACTCATCACCATCTTCGTCGATGAGAGCCTGGATAGGACAAAGGCGAAGCACGACACACGGCCAATGGCATGCAGCCCATAGCGAAACGTAACCGTTCCAGTCAAGGCTGCACGCTTGACATCCGAATGGTAGGTGCGGCACTGGAGTGTCGGATTGCGTCCTGCTGTGGGTGTAACCGGCAGGTTCCAAGACTGAGAAATGAGTTACGTCGTGGCAAATCAACGGGCCTGCCGGACGCCTGGACAAACGTCGATGAGCCATCCTCGAAGGTGCGTGGCTTCTAGGGAAGAAACACGGACATAACTGCGAGTGGCGCGCCCAAGGCACGTTTCCAATTTTCGAGTTGACTGAAACCGCCACCAGCGACAAATGCAAAACAAAACAAGCGTAGGTTCGCTGCGGGGAACAGCACTTTCAGCCTCGGCACCGCCCCATGGACCTCCCAAGATCAAGCTGTGGCCTTTCTCGCTAAGCGAGCGAGAAAAGCCTCTTGAAACTGCCAGTAGAGAGGGTCACAAAGGTCGTCCTCCAGTGTCATTCCGTGCAGTAGCCTTCTGACAGAGATTGGCTCCAAAGCACCTCGGAGGCCTGCGTCAACAGCCCCGTCCTCGGTGATGCGGTCTCTGAAAGCGCATGGACCGTCAGCTCTCGCTGGCTCGGCTCCAGACAGATCTCCATCATCGAAGTTGATCGAGATCTTCGCTCACCACGGATGCTACGAGACGGACTACGCCTACGCCGCGCTCTCGTTTGCATGCTCAGGCCACGGCATATGTTCCAACCGTCAATGCTGAGAGGCTTGAACTGGAGGGATCGAGCTCGCTCATTGCCTTGGCAGCACGGCCCGCGCACGGCCGCACTGTAACCGATTGAGATCGCAAGAGATGGCCAACTGCAACGGCCTCTCATGTCCCGCCTCGAGGTAGAGACTTGGCACGGAGGCTTCATGGGACACCAGGCGAAGTGTTCAGTGCTCAGCACTTGCAGCCGTTTAAATGCATGCTTAAGCCCCAATGGCCATGATGAGACATGCATAATCGTGCATAGATCTTGTGTCGCTTGGGCTTGTCCCGAGTCGTCCTGTCGAAGTGCTACAGCGATCAGTCTGCGGGGCCAAGCATGCAAAATATCTCCAAGTGCCACAGCTTGACGACTTGAAGCTTGAATCCACTCTTCGCATTTGGGACCTTCCGGTTCCCATATGCATCCAACAGCCTTTTTCAGCGGGAAAGCGACGTGATGCTGTAGCACGCTCTCGGCATGAACAGTAAGTCAAGTGAGCCAACGTTCTGATGCCGGCATGCTCAGCTTGTCCTATGTACAACAACCACAGTACAGATGTCAGACGAACTTCAGCCTCAGATGAAGACTGCGAGTCATGAGATATATGAGTCTAGCTTCACAGGATTTCCGACCGAAGATCTGATGCTGGGTTCTCCTCATGCGGTGCTCTAGCTCCTCTGGAGCCCGCGGCACCAGGAAAGTCGCAGGAATCCGTGGTTCGATTTGATGGGACTCTACCAACTCCAAAGCTGCTACAAGCCTCAACACGACGAGCTGTTCCATGGCTCCGGCCCCTACTTGCCGCTCAGTACTCTGTCGATGTCGACTCTTGCACTTCGCAGCGGAACGTCGTGTTCTCGCCCGTCCTGAGTGTCTCTCTCGGGATCCTCTCGTCTTCTTCCGATTTACCTACACAATCTTCCTCCGTCCCTCCCTCCCTCCCCCTGCAGGATGCTTCAGGTACGGTGCTAATTTCCACTCCCCCTCGATGTCAATGTCTCAACATGTTTTACGCATGACGTTAAGCTGCCGTCTCCTTAGTCATCATGTTCCAGCCCCCTCAGTTGAGCTACAGCCGTACTACGAGCTCGTCAACATGAGGCTCTCGAAACAGGGGCATTGCTCGCCAAGCCATTTGGGTCCCAAAGCTCGGGGTCGCAGCCGTCTGGAATCCAACACCCCGCAGAGCATGGAAGAGTGCCGCATCCAGAGAGATAGAGAGTTTAGCAGTGAAGTTGTGTCTTCTACGGTGAAGCACATTCCAGACCAAACAGACTTTGGGAATATTTCCAGCTCGGTAACTTCGGAGCCACGCCCCCAAACCCCCTCGAAAACTCCCTGTCACCACGTAATCGAAGCTAGGAACAACTTAGGTGGCTCAGAGCAGAAATCATCCGCGCAAACTTGCGGCATCGCTCAGTGCAAAAGACCAGTGCAGTGATGCTCGACACATCTCGAAGTGCAAAGGCCCCGGCCACTGCCACTGATCGACCACTAGACGTGCCTTGGACTCTTGGACTGTCCGTGTCTGTATGTCCGGGTGAAAAGAAGAATGAAGCGAATCTCTTCTCGGCTTCGTTGGCACAAAAACAGATGGCGTCATGTCATTCGGACTTCGCGACATAAACGACTGCAGGCGCGCGCGTTGTCGTCATAGCCGCCAAACAGCACAAAGGAGAAGTCAGAGATCCTGGATGCGATGTTATCTGCTTCTTGCAAGCTCGGTTGAAGCTGATTTCGTGAATTCGTCGCGGTCTCAGGCGCCCACGTGGGAGCAATGACGGCAGCAAACTGAGAGGACGACAACAACAAGCCATAGAACATCACTGACACACGTCATGTGTTTAAATTGGAGACGGCCTGCGCTCTGGCAGAGAATGGAGCTGTGGGTGCGATCTGCGTCCACTTGCCCCAATTCGAGAGATCCTGCAGGGACCGCAGGGGCATGTCGTGATGCTGCGGGGCTCAGTTCAAAACAATGCGCCCCATCACGCCACACCAGTGCAAAGCCAACCTTGTTTCCACACCAGATGTCGTTGCGGGGGTTTGGGCGATCAGCTGGATCCTGCACTTAGGAGCCACGCAGGTAGACAGTAATGTCTGCACCTGCTGTTGCAAGAAGCTCTTCTTGAAGAGTGTACGGCCGGCTGGACATCAAGCAACAGAAGGCTAAGCAAAACTCCAAACATGGGTAAAGGTCCGGCTCTTTGCCACGAATGACTTCACCTCAGCAATTCTTCCACTCTCATCGACTATGGAGATGAGTTATATGCCTGGCCTACTGCAGTGGTTTGCACTTCCAAGCATCGTCTCTGTACCCACATGCCAGCTTTGCCTGCCCAACCGCCCAAAATGCTGAGACTGTTGCCGCTGTCTGGTTCCCCGCCGAATCCCCCCACAAGAAGGACCTTGCCATCGACAGGTATCATTGCGCAGCAGACATCTTTTAGCAAACAGTGAGCACATCGAATCTCTGCGGTGCAGGCTTCACGATGGAAGAGTTATAGGGATATAGAAATTGTTAAGGCTTTGGGCACCGAAGTTTGTCGCGGGCTGGGGGCTGTAGGTATGGGGACTGGCCTCGGCTGGCGGAGCAGTGCTGGACTGGCTCGAGCTGCGCTGCTGTGCTGGGCTGGGCTGTTGGCTTGTTCCATTTTGACCGTGCATTGTTCTGGAAAAGGGTGGGTTCCCAGAACAAAACATCTGGTGTCAGCGAGGCTTAGCTTGCGGCCGTGTCTACGTCCGCGCTGCCTGGGGTAACGAAGCCCACCTTCAGCAACAACGTCACGGGCTCATGTAGGCTTCCTTGCTGTGCATTTCTTCTCGTTTAATGCCTGGGGCTGCAACCAACCGATGACCATGCCGTGGGAACCAAGCAGCCTGTGGAGTAAGTTGCGTCCAGGTGCCCTGACAGCGCACAAGACACTCCGACATTTCTTCACCCTTGAACTGGTCACTCAGAGACAGTGTTCCCATGGCATTGTATGCCATGCAAGCAGTAGGCCCGGGACAGCAAAGTCTTCACTCGATGTTACAACACAAAACAGAGCACCGCCTGCCACTGCACGCTGCAGAAGTCTCCCGAGTGCTGCCACACCCTTGGAAGCGCTGGTCTACAACTTGAGGCTTGTGGAAGACAGTTTTTCCTAGACTGAGTCTGCTTGTATGGTCTACTCGAACTGCGGTCATATTGGGATGGGCTATCAAGACTAGACAGCGGCCGACCGAGCAAGGTGTCACCACAGATGAAGACCTTCAACATCCTGCTCCAACATCGCCAAGCTTGCCTGTGATTCAGTTGTACGGGCGAAAATCCGGAGCAGGAAGGGGCTCAACGCGCCTTCTAATCCTAAGGAGCCTTCTCATCGAAGACGCGGGCGTCGCTCGTTTTGGTCTTTCCCGTGGCGACATTCAGGCAGTGAAGCTACGAAGCTCGCAGCTTGCAAGCCGCGCCGTCCCTGGGCAGAAACCGAGGCTGACAGGACGCTGCCCGTAGCCTCGAACTGTGAAGCTAGGAGAGCAAAGCAGACTTCAGTGAGACCAATGTTCGAGGATCTGGCCGCATGCTCTTCCAGCAAATCAATGTAGACCCCTGCTTTGTAAATCCGCTTCCCTTCATGCGCGTTATGGCACGGATCCTACTGCTAGGGCCCTAAAGTTGTAGCCTTACATGTAAGCGGGTTTATTTCAACGGTCTACACTACTGCTACTTCCGAACAAAACTTGAAAACGGACGTGAACAAGCCTCGTTAAGACTTGTCTCAACTTAGGGGTTCAGAGTGCCCTTGTTGCTCAAGACGTTCAGGGGGACGTGGATGTACGCCTTGCCAGATGCGTCTGGTTCGGGCATGCGCCCCGCGCGAATGTTGAGCTGCACCGAGGGGATGAGGAGTTTTGGAACGGCCAGCTGGGCATCCCGGCCATCACCTAGGAGTGTTTTTCAACAATCCAACCTCTACGCAACCAAGTACCAAGACACCCCCTACACGTTGACATGAAATTGTAAAGCAAAATCGAGGGTCGCATTGAGACAAAGTCGTCCTCAGTCTTGCCAGCTCCGATGTGCACATTGTTCCGACGCTGCTCACCTATGGTCGTCTCCCATGCGAACTCAGAGCGGGCACCCTTCGGCAAGTAGTCGTGGCCAACGAAGACTCGTGTGTCTCCTGGTAGGGCAAGGATCTTCTGGATCGACTTGTAAAGCGTTTTTGAGCAGCCTCCCGGGAAGTCGCAACGTGCAGTGCCGTAGTCTGGCATGAAAAGCGTGTCGCCAGTAAACACGGTATCGCCAATGTAGTAGCAGACACATGCTGGCGTGTGACCAGGCGTGTGGAGGACAGTGGCTGTCATTCCTCCGATCTTGAATGTCTCCCCATCCTTGAAGAGCTTGTCGAACTGCGAGCCATCAGCCTTGAAGCTTGGTCCCAGGTCGAAGACACCTGCGAACGTCGCTTGGACGAGCCGGATGTTCTCTCCAATAGCGATCGGGATCTTGCCTCCCAGCTTCCCCTGAATGTAAGGTGCCGCCGAAAGGTGGTCTGCATGCGCATGGGTCTCCAAAAGCCATTCCACCTCGAGCTCGTGTTTCTTGATGAAGTCGATGATTGTGTCGGCGTGCTTGGTGCATGTGTTGCCCGAGGAGAAATCAAAACCCATCACCGTGTCAATCACTGCAACTTTGCGGCTACTTGGGTCTCGGACAACTGCAGAGACGGTATGAGTTTCCTCCTCGTAGAACACAGTCACATCAGGCCTCACGTGCTCAATCTCGTCGTCCTTCGAGGGCTCCCGCCCACTTTTACACAAACACAAGAAGTTCTGCAGGAATGCCATGGCGTCCTGGGAGCACTGCACAAAACTAGTCAATCGAACCCTCGTCTAGTAAAGGTCCTTGCAGAGCCGAGGGTCACAACACCAGCTGCTATGAAAGTCTATTCCATCCTCAACGCGGGGAATGACAAGGGAACGAGAACTCTCGTCGAACTGCCTGTGTGAGTGCGGCAAGTGAACCTCCGATAGTTCAACTCCACTGTTGATTGAAGTAGTGCACTGTAGCTACCGGAACTTCAATGAAGATGTGCATTGTTGGTCAAAACCATTGCCGACACCAAGGAAGGCGTACGAAGACCCTACAAGCTCAGCTTCACTCTGGAAACATCTCAGAAACTGGGAGTCCAACCAAACGTCATTCTCGTAGCCCAGGGAAGACCGACCTCCAAAGATCCGCATAGCATGAAGCGTATCCAAGCTTCTCTACATCAGCCCCACCCTTGGAAACAGCTCAACCAACACCAGAGAAAGCCTGCTTTGCTACAGGCTGGCATCTGACAGGGTCACAGGGTAAAGCGTTCTTTAGACGCCGGTAAGCTTGCAGTATGCTTCGCCGACCTGCCGTTCTTTCAAACGGAGATTGAGGTTGCGGATCAAAATTCTGCAGCCTATACAGGCCGAAACACATCCGAAGTAAGCACGAATCCTTTACCCAAACCACGAGCAGCGGGTAGCCGGAGGCACCAAAAGAATGCCGCCGTATAGAGTTCCGACACTTGTGGGTTACCGGCTAACTTAATGAATAATCATTTGTTTGCCAATGCGATGGACTTTTCACCCGTTTGGCCGAACAGGGCCGTGAAATGAATGTTGCTGCGTGCCTCCAGCAAGGATGACCTGAGATGTGAGCAGGGGTTATAATAGCACATCTGGCTGCCTGCCCTATGAGACTCAATCTGCGCCGGATTGCAAGAAGCAACGCTGGGGTCTCTGCTCCACTCGCAGTCCAGACTGCCCCGGGCTCCTGCAAATGGTCGCGGATGCATGCTATACTATGTGCTATATGCTCCGGGGGTTGCTGTGGCAACCTCCACGAGACTAGACCGTGTCAGTATCCAAGTTAACGAGACCCCCTGGGCCCCCTTATGAGTGAGAGATATAGGCATTACGAGTGGCTCGATCGGTGTAGTAGCACTGTCACAACGAGCGTGGGTCCGACCGCGGCGCCCAGGGAGCATCCCTTGGGGCGGTAGTTGCTTTTTCGAGCCCACCTCTTTTGTCACGACTATGGTTTGCCGACAGAAAATGCAGGCAGGCGGCAGAAGTTGTGCCCACTGCCCATAGATCGGAGAGCTTGTGCACCTTGGCTGCGGCCGACCACTCACAAAAACTACTGGTAGCAGGACAGAAACAAGCGTCGCAGGCTGCTGATCCATCCGTGCTTCGGGGCCACCGCCCTGAACTCTGGACCCAAGTCCCAAGGCCGGAGCTTGTAGCTGCACTCGAGACCAAACCTGGCATTTGTGACATGTCGTGTGCGCGAGTGGACGGCAATGATGCATCGAAAATGATGCCAGACATTGAACATGCGCCCCATCCTGACCCACACTGGAAAAAGCTGGGACGGTTGGCTTTGGGTCCGGACCCGCCTTGCGGCTTCTAGCGGTTGCATGTCTTCGAGCAGGGTGCATTTCCTGGACAGGTATTCGAGATTTGCGAGACGTCGGATGCTCTGCTGCACCGGAGAGCTCCAAGAGTTGAGCCTCAGACCTTTGGCTGGTACCGAAATTAAGGGGGAACTATCAAGCAAACCGCGGTGCCAGACAGTAGGGCAGACGACGATGCACCAGAATTCAAAACGCGAATGGCAAGCAATTTTAAGTCGCAAAATCCCATTCTGTAGACTGTAATGTGGCGCTGACCGTCCTCACTGACTCCGACAAAGAAATGGCATGCAAAAGCCAACTTTGGCATTGGCGGATCCTCGGCGTCCAACGCCAGACGTCATTTAGAAGGCCGGGTTCTCCTGACATTTAAAGCCCGAGTTGCGGGAAAGCCAATGAACAAGCCGACGTAAGCAACTGCATGACAAGACTTAAAAGGTGATAGAAGGATACCTCCGCCACCGTCGAGTAGCACAAAGCAAGTTGCATGTTGCCCGGCCTACGCCGCCCATGAGAAGAATATCCTCGAACGGAGGTGCCAGTTAAGAGTTCTGCTGCTTGCAATTGGAAGAAAAAGCAGTGTAGAAATGCATACCGGGTCATCAAGAGCTACACCTACTAACTACGAGTACAGCATAGCATAAGTAGACAACACTCCAGTATGAGTGTGTTGTGCCAGCCTGCCTGCCTGCCTGCTTGCCTGGATAACCCTGTATGTCGGCAAAAACGTATGGGTTGACATGCAGGTAGATGGATGGATACACCCCGCTCACACACGCAAGCACAAACATACTCCGCACATGTTTCCGCTATCCAGCAGGTCACGCCTTTGCATAGCATGGGGCAGTCTCCATTTTGTACTCACGCAGAATCGATGACGTGCAGTTTCTGCAGCGTGCAATGATGTGTAGAAGCAGGGAATCTGCTTTGTCGAAAATTGGGCGCCTCGGCTTTCTCGAAAACACAAACAAACAATCTCTCCTACTAGTGTAGTTGCCATGCTGGAGCTTGTGCTTCTGTATGTATGACCAGGTGCCGTGAGAAAATCCACGCGCCGGAAATCATGTCAAACAGTTCAGAAGTTGGATGCGTGCCTAAATCATGCTGAGGTCTTGGGGGCACGCTTTCCCAACTCCTGGATCCGTTACTGCAGACCTCATTCAGAGGTAGCTGCTTTCTCACAGACAACTAACAGCCCTCGAAGATCTCACGAATGCGCTGTCGCCTTTCAAGGCTCCCCCGACCCTAGCCTCAAGCCCAAAATGCCTCAGCCGCTTCTCGCGCTGTGCTCAGAGCATCAGCGTCCGTACCACGAGCAGCCCCTTGGGCAAAGGCCCTCAGCGTGAGTGCAAAAACGGCTGCAAAGCCAAACCACGACATACAGTGTAAATTCGTGAGGAAGGAAATCGGCAGAACAATCAAAGAGGATCTCTCGCAGGTGACTCAGGCGACTTCAGGACTAAGGCTGTCTATCATTGTCTATCACAAGATATCACAAGCATCATGCAGTAGGTGAAGAAACGACCGCGCACAAAGTGCCATACCTGGTTCTGCACATTCACTCATGAATGGACAGGAGGCGGTTTGCCGCCACCCTTGCCGCCAATGGCTGCAAGCGACGCCTCTGCGCATCAAAGACACGACTCGCTGGAACGGCAAACACGGCTGCAGGAAGGTGTGCCTGGACCCAGGCACCAGCTGGCTTCGAAGCCTGGCGGAATGTCTCCACAAAGTTCCAGGTACTTCAATTCAATCTTTGGCAAGCCAGACCGACTAGGATGCGTCGTCCCAACACCCACACACACACAGACCGCACTCCCGATCTTCCATGCCCCTTCACCGTGTTTGTTCAGCTCCTGGAGCGACGAGGGGACAGCTGCAAGGCAGTCAACTGCCCCATCACCTTCGAAGACTGAACGAAAGTTGTCTGACGACTGCAGCCTTGAAGACCACGGACCCACCAGAGCGAAAACTATCCAAAGGCCTCACCTGTTTCTCAAGACGCTCTGTGCAATCGCTGTGAACTGAGCTGTCGGAATCTGTCGGATCTCCTGCCCAAGAGCCCCGCTTGGCTGGTTCAGCACCAGGACGGCCACAGACTGCATGTCTGGCTCAGCGGCAAGGTCACGCAGCATCTTGCCGTCAACACCTCAAGTGAGTGCGAGTAGAGCATTCCCTGGCCATCTTCAAGTCCAAGCGCTTCAAGCACACCAACACACGCGGCATGCCTGAGCCGTCGAATGTTGCGACGCAGAAGTCGGCGCCCGCGTCTTGTGCCGTGTCGATCGCCTGCCGGCAACCGAATCCTTTTTCCTTGCCTCCAGTTCACTATGCTGTTCCGCGCGGGATGGCCGGGCCTGTCGCAACTTGGCCAAGAAAGCCGCCTGCTCCTCCTTGCTGACCTTGCCCTTCTTCTTTTTCTTCTGCTGCTTCTTCAGCCTCGGCCCGGTCGGTGGCGCGATACGTAGGACAAGGCATCGAAACGTGGAGTTCAAGAGGTGGAGGGATGTGAAGGGTCCTCCGAAGCGGAGTAGGAGAAGCAAAACAATCAATAGCCACCGCGACCCAGCTTAAATGCGGGCCAGGATTTTGCAAGGCCTGCTAGGCCTGCTCAGATCCACCTTGAAGCTCAATGAAAGTGGAGCGTGGGAGGACACCAACACTCTGGTTTACCACCCTTGCCCCTCGCACATCCTCAACTGCATTGTCGCTCCACGACCAGAGCCGGCTCTCACCTGCTAAAGCGCCGAACGAAGCCGAATAGGATCTGCAAATAAGTACGCATAAAACTCGTGCCGCGACAATAAAGAGTCGCAGGCCCGATTTACGGTTATAGTGAAGCAGCATACCTTGGTTGACCCAACAACGCCCGGCTTGCAGTTTGCACTGCCGGCTGCTTTTTTTCTCCACCGCAGCATCAGATGTCCGACGAACCCAACCTGAGCGGACAGCATGGATACTTACCGGGTACTCTCCAATGCTACAGCATGGAAAGGGCTACAGGCAGATCTCTGTAGCGTGACGTTTGAAGGATCCGGCCCAGTCATCCCAAGCACATGCGGCTCCACTGTTGATCCCAAGTTTCATACAGGTAGTAGACAGCAGCTAGAATTCGCCAAGAAACTTCAGCTTCTGCTGTAGACTCCGCGCATACTCGCGCACTACAAAGCCTGTGCTGGCACATCGCGCGCGGTGAAGACGGACCTGAGTTAAAACGCGGCTTTGGCACAGCTGCGAGACGATAAATGCACCGGCATGCCGCCAGGGCTCCGTTTCCGGCTGTCCGAGGCATCTTTTCACCACCAGTCCAGCGCCTCACAAGCCAACAGCACACGCGTCCACCGGAATTAGACAAAAGACCCAGTTCCAACACGGTGCCGTGAGGGTATGCCCGCTGCAGGTGTGCTATGTGATTGTACAAGTGAGAATGGCTCCGGCAGAAATGAAGCCGCCATATGTCATGTGTTGCAACTCAAGTCTGATGAGCAACAGGTGATGCGGTCTCGTTTTGGCGCTTTGGTTCGGTTCCCATGTTTGTTAAGAGAGATCTTTCGAGTCAAGTTGCTTCACACTTCAGTCTTGTTACCAGCCATCCCATCTCCAAACCTGGTTCACAACCAAGACCTGCCTTCGGGCCCCTCTCCAACGCGGAAGAGGACGGCGTTGCCTTGTCGAGGGCTGCAGCATTGCGTGCACGCAGAGAGTCCGCGTGAGTGCATCATGTGCCTGGTGTCAGGTGATGGCTGTCGGATAATGACGACGACGGAACTGGAATGTCAGGGCCTCAGCTGCAAACACAGGATTCTCCAGGACTGCAAAATTCGCAGAAAATCGTCTTCCTGTTGTTTGGCACTTCCACAGGCAATCACAGGAATCACAGGCACAGGCCTATGCCAAGTAATGAGATCACGCCCGCTGACACCATGGGGTTCCATGCCTCCCAGTTCTTGGCGAGGCAAGCATGCGAAGGAACATCCGACTGTGCCAAAATCGAATCAGAGTGCTTTTCGTGACACGACAAGACGCCAGCCTTGACAACACCGAAGAGCATCTGACCTGGACAGCAAGTTCAAGGAGATCTAAGTAAGGAGCGACGTTCACTGGAGCCACGACAGATCTCGACAGCAAAACACGAAGCGGGGCGCATGTACATGTGACAGAATGGAAACAGATGTACAATCGCACTGGCTCTAAGTCTAGCCGAAAGGCCTTCAGGAATCTCACTTGGCGGCATTGGAGCGCGCTCGTGGTGGAAGCAAGCCAAGAGATTTCCTGCAAGGCCATCTGCGAGGTACACGTGCAGGTTGCGCCGGGTGCTTGAATCTCTTGCGCAGTCCTGGCCATCCCTCAGGTATTCTGAAAGTCAGATCTTCCACCGCCATTGTCGCTTCCTGTTGCACATGTCCGAGAGTGCTTGAAAACGCTGCACTATAGGGATTAGCCTAACATGGCTACTTATGCTCCTCTATGTTGCTCATGGTCACCACGGCCCGCACACCCGACGGGAGACGTCGTGCAGCACGCACCTCATTTGCAAATCCGTGCCGAGCTGAGAAAGGCTCTTGGGACCCTAGTTTCTGCAATGTGGGGCCATGACCGTCCCGAATCGCTCCAGAAGTGTTTTCAGCGCTTCCTCCGCCACGCCACGCGGCACGTTCGCCTGAAGGCGGATTCTTCAGGCGTCAAGCCGCCTACAACCTACATAATAAAATCGAGCGCAATCAACCGTCCTTTGTCAAGCTGTGCGATGTCCTAGTCCTAGTCTGCGCCAGGCCGCTAAGAGGACCTCAGTGGACGGGATCATGTCCACGTGGTCCTCACTGATTGCAGGCTCCATCCGGGTCGAGTCGTCGTACTCCTCAGGCTTCGAAGAGTAGATGCTCTCGATCTATTCGAAGCCTGTCCGGACCGTCCTGCCTACTATTCAACCTCCTTGCTGCCGGGGGTCGAGGATAAGCTCCTGCTGGACATCTTGATGCAAATAGGCCAGCCACGCTTTGGTTGCAGAGTCCAGATCCCATGTCTGGCAAAAGTAGGCCAAGCCTGACTGCAGAAGCCCGCACTCGGGAAGCTGCGGATCATGCGAAAAGGTGGCCAGCACCTGGATGTGGATCCTGTTGCCGAGGTAGCCACGACAGCCTTCAAAGTGGCAGCAGGTAATGCATGGTGGAGGCACAGCCAGGCGCTGCAACGGCCAGCAACGGCCGTTGAGCCTCATTCCCTGAAGGAGAGGGTATATCCACCATTAAGGAGACACACAACTCTCGTGACCAAGCAGCTGCAGCTGTGCTGCTGCCGGCTTTGCTAGCGGCGCAGGCAGCTTCTCGGTCTTCTCTTCGGGGACACTTGGACTGTTCTGGTCCACCTAAGCTCAGGCCAACTAAAATACTGACATGGCAAAAGAATTTCAAACCGCCACCAGCGGCATGCATGACAAGAGTGTACGCTGACACGCATGACGGAAGCTTGGGGGTCCTTCTGTGTGTGGGGTGGACATTTCGAAGCCTTGTTTTACATACTTATA